TGAATTCTGAGCAGAGTGCACTAGAGCTGTGAGAACCACCCAGGATGCATATAGCCTTCCAGCTGGGAGAGTCAATGTGAGGCAGAGGCAGGGGTGCAGGTAGAGACCTTCCAGGGACAGAAACAAGCAGCCCCGTGCTGCTTGATGGTAATAGCAAAAGATGAGATTCTCTGCCAGTGTGTTAGCAGAGCTTGAGCTGTCAGTGGTCCAGCACTGCAGTGGGTGTTACCATGTTTCCATCCATGAAGGGTCATTGTATGCTCCTTAGATGATAGAATGTGAAAATCGGGAGCTCTGGAGCAAACCTCACACATGCCCACAGGAATGCAGCAAGTGAACTCAGGCTCTGCTCCCTCGTGGTGTTTTTAACACCTTTGGCTGATCCACAATGCACCAAAGCTATAGCTGTAGGACTCCAGGATGGGGCAGTGTGTCATGGGCAGGTAGCGGTGACAGTGGAGTTGAATGTGCACATAGGTATGACAGGCTAGGGCCTGCTGAAGAAAGCTCATCCTTGTGCCCAGGGGTCTCAAGTGGATTAAACCATGTTCATGAAGTTTCTGAGTTTATAAAGGTGGCTTGAGGCTAATGCATACTGGTAGATTTTAGGTTCTCCTGGATAGACAGAGCCCCATCAGGATACCTAACCAGGACACTATCTTTACCTGCTCTTTAAAGCAGCATGGCCCCAGTAACATAGGGAATTATAGCAAACAAATTATTTCCTTGGCACTTAGCTTGCACCAGATACTGTGTTAAGACACTTTTATGTCTCATACAAACGGACTATGAGTGACTTGAATTTCTGCTGGTGAAAGAACAGAACACAATCCCAGTCTACTTTGTTTTTCTAAGTGTGAGCTACAGGCTGAGGAGACCTTCGAGGTCAGGGATACAACAGGAAAGATCTAGAGTGCCGGGCGAGACAGACTGAGATGCGTACGGTGAGCTAGGACAGGAACAAGGAAGGAGAGTGGACAGGGTGGATACTGACTCCATACAGAGATACAGCCTGTGGTAAAACTTTAGAGGAGCACGTATCAATCTTTCCAACACGTAGTAACACGGAAGAAATGCCAGGGGCATAAGCAATGTGTTTTGACATCTCCTTAGTAAATACAGGTGAGACACATAGGAAATGGAAAGAGAAAGAACCAGGAGGGAAGTTGAGGGTCACCTCCATATGGTCAGTCACTGAAGGAAGATGTGAGCGTGATGGGAGAAGCTCTGGGTGTGTGCGAATGAAGGCCTGGGCTATGTGCAACCTTAGAAAGGCCCCAGTGGACAGAGGAAGTCACGAGAGGCTGATGGTGTCTCCATCTGGGTGCAGTCCCGAGGCACACAGAAGCTTTTGATGAGTGTGTGTGAGGTAGAGGCTAGGACTGAAAACCAGAGAAGAGAGAACTTGATGACTGTCACTTAAGTCCCTGCATTTGATGTCTGTGTATTACTGAATTCTTATTAACACTTTTTCCCCTTTCCCCAGAGTCCATCGGTAATGTCACATTTGGAGCAGGGGTCAGTTACATAGGTACACCAGCAACTCCACTTTTCACCAAAGGTAAGTTCTGGGTTTTCTTCTGATCAGGACACCCACTGCCTTTGAAGTTCTGGAAAAACTAAATTTGTGTTTGACTCCTTTTCAGAAAAAATCGAAGCTCAGGATCAAGGAAATGACATTTTATGTTTATCGCTGCCTGATAAATCGTAAGTTCTCTTGGGTGGGCATTTTTGTAGAGCTTTTTCTTTTCATTGACTGTACATTTTCTTCTCCAGGCCTCCACAGTCTCCACAGTGGAATGTAAAGTCTCTAGCCAGAAACAAGGGCAGCCCGAGATCCAGCAGGAGGTCCCTCCGCAAGGCCCCCCTGAAGACAGCCAACTGAAACCCGTGCCTCAGTAATAGCTTCGGGGACATTGCCTTTCCCCTATGGAAGGGGAAAGACTGCATGGCACGGTCTGCGGTGGACAGACTTGCCTATACATTGCCAAGTCCTTTGGTAGGACACCAACATGGCCCTGTTTAACTTGTGTTTGGCTAACCAGCCTTCCATGTTTCTCCTTATGTTACTGTAGTCGAGATTTGTAAATATAGAGAGAGATGACATATTTAGACTTTTTTACAATAACAATAAGCTATTTAATATTGTGACATTGTGTTTGAGTCTCAAACCTTCTGTAGTAAGTTATAATCTGGTCTTTTTTCTTTTTCTTCTTGGTTTTTCAAGACAAGGTTTCTCTGTGGCTTTGGAGGCTGTCCTGGAACAAGCTCTGTAGACCAGGCTGGCCTCGAACTCACAGAGATCCGCCTGCCTCTGCCTCCCGAGTGCTGGGATTAAAGGCGTGCGCCACCAACGCCCGGCTCTCTGTGGCTTTTGAGGCTGTCCTGGAACTCTTATAGACCAGGTTGGTCTCAAACTCCACCTGTCTCTGCTTCCCAAGTGCTGGGACTAAAAATGTATGCCACCACTGCCCAGGTCTGTGAGACATTTTAATATGGACTGAATATTTTGTTAGGTGTGACTGTGTTATTTCAACTGTTAAGGAATTTCTGCCAGTTTTATAGGTATCTGGCTATAATCTGGTCTTTAAGAAACACAATTTTAGAAACCAGCTTTCTTCTGTATAACTCAAGTGTCAATAGCTTGTCTAAATTCATTATGATAACTAATGGTAAAAAATTTTGATTGAAATATTTTTCTATTATTTATAATTGCAGATTTTATTAAAAGAAGTGTACAGTCTTTTCTAAAATGAAGTAATAAAAGTCAAATATAGGTATAACCTCCTAGCATTTAGTATAATTTTTCTGGCTTTGGGGACAGCTTTGGTAGTCGTCTTAACATTGCGTTAAGGGTTTACAAATAAGATCAAATCTTTCCCACTATCATCATTCTGCTCACCTGCCTGTGTTCCCATATAGAAACTTCTGTCTCCCTAACAGCAGACATCCCATTATTACATTAGGTATTATCCTGCTTATGATAAAACAGCTTCTTGACCCTTAAGAGTGGCAGTGGTCCTGATATGTGACACTGCTATGGACTGTTCGACAGTTGGGCATGACTTGAGTTGGTATTATTTGTGGATTCTGAAGAGATGGATTGAGTCCCTGCTTTTTTGGAGATGTGAATCTGACTTTATTGCTCAGCATGTTGAAATGGGCTCATCTGGTCCTTTTCATGTGTCAGCGTCCTGTAGCAGGGACTCCAGGCATGCTCTGCCATCCATGGCTGGTGCCGCCCTCCTCCTGCCCTCATGCTAAACCAGGACCAGGTGTGCCTAGGCAAGCCCTCTAGCACAGAACTACACTCTAGCACCAAAATTACTGTCTGTAGCGTGCATGTGGGCTTGGAGAATCACTGTACTCGGCCATAAAGAAGCTCTGGAATAAGTGTCATAGCTGCTTTTGAGTGAACACTTGACTGGGTACAGATGTGGCTTTCCTTGTTGTGATGGAGCCTTTGCGGAGTATGTTCCTAACCAAATGCTAAGAACACAGGGTCAGCCTAACACAGAAAAAGGGATGGATTCATTTTGTTTTTAAGTTTTTATAGATGAGTGAGTTTTAACAAATAACCAAATTGCAGTTGTGTTAGTATAAATCCGTAACATCTACAAACAACAACTTCAACATCAGTAGCCAAAAAAAAAAAGCCTTTCAGGTTTCTTCAGTCAGACTCACATCCTGCGGGTCAGTGAGCTCCTTCAGGCCATGTCTGTACAGTCACAGGCCGCTGCTTTCCAGGCTCACACGTTCCTTTGTCAGACTTAGTTCCCATGGCACAGTGGACGGCGGCTTCAGGGCATGCAAGAGTAGAGGAGGGCGCGACATGGCTACCCTGTTGCTGTGACCGCCACTGGAAGGCCAGTGTATTGTTCTCCCAGTCCACCCTGCTAGACGGCAGATGATACCCTGCTCTGCCCAAGAGGAGGCAGAGGTAGGAAGGATGAGGTTATCCAAGTGGCAAAAGCAAGGGAAACCAGGCTCCACTGGGCAGGCACAGAATTACCACCCTGCTGCTTCTGCTGGTGTCTTAGCATATAGCCTTCCACATAAGAAAAAACCAGTGTGCTTCAAGAATTCAAAAAAAAAAAAAAAAGGCAAGAGGGAGGAAAAAAAACCTGTAGAAGTATAAATACTAGGATCACAAAGTGGCTAGCTTCTCCATAAAAACCTCTCTGGGTGCAAGGTAGGATTAGGAACTCCTTTAGACACTCCTGGCTTCAAAACACTTCACATCATGAGTCTAGCATGGTAAAGTGTTTGAAACCAAGAGTGTCTGTTCCTGAAGAATAAAGGCTTTTGAATGGTGTTTCTAATGTCACACAAAATGAGTAGTGTCTCAGGTAGATAAAAGATTTAAAATAAAAATTAGAAAACTGCTTTTGGCCAGGCATTTTACTTTGCTCACCATAGGCTTTGTACCCTGGCTGTCCTCTCTGGCATTCCTCAAAGAGCTGGGCTGGACACAACGGCTTGTCATGGAGAAGAGACATTTTAATCAAACAAAGATGAACAGTAGCATCTGTTTTAAATAGTACTGAAGTTGACAGGTTCGGTTTCAAATTGCCTTTGGCCTTGCATACAATTACCAACTAAACAAATTAAAATGAATTTTAAAAACAAGTACACTGGCCTTGTCTTATGACCTACCCAAAATAGGTTGAATTCGGTCACAGCACCCAAAGACTGAATGTCACTGGCCACCTGCCTTCCTCAGCTTCCCACACTAGAACAGCCAGCACTGCACAGCCCAGAAACTACCCATGAACACTTGAATCCGGATTCAGAGCTGAGGTCAGGGCTGTGCAGGCTATAAGGGGACATTCCATCCCATACAAGTTAGTGACCATGAGCAATGGCTTAACTAACCTCAGGAACCACCCGACTTGGTATGCACAGTATCTCTCTGGGAGTTGGAAATCTTAGGAAGAAGCCATTCAAAACTAGCTCAGGAGTTCCCAGGGTTTCTTTATGCAAAAAGATACAAACATGACTAGATTTGAATTCTTTAATAGTTTCCTAAGCAACAGTGGTCAGACAGTAAGTTTTCTTACAAAAAATACTAAAACATTTTGTGAACAAAGGAAGGTTCAGCCAGCCGCCTTAAAAGAATCCCTTAAAAGACTTTATTACTGGTATTTTCCAATTGAACACTAGTAGCCCAAGTCTTCTAACCTTAAGTTGAACTCTTAAAAAAATACGTTTTGAAACACTGTGTGGCAATATATTTACAATTTATATAGAAATTTTCAATAATCAAAATACATCTTTAGCAAAAATTTAGAATGTTAAAATTTTATAAAATAAGAAAGACCAATAGAAAAGCAAACTTCAGTACCATTTCAGACATAGCTTAAGACAGAGGTTCTCCTAAATCCTGGCAGCTCTTGGGAAAGAGAGTCATCTGGGTAAGATCTCTTTCCAGTAAGCAATTTTACCTTTCTGATTTGGGTGTTTATAAAATGCTGATCCAAACAAATTTTCCAGGATGGACATGAAAACACTGGCCAATCAACAGAGGCAACACGGTGGGTCAAGGTCCAGGGAGCAAGGCACTGCCTGAAAACCTTCCTGGGGCACAGCCGCGGGCATGCTCACAGAGCTGCTGCTGCAGCCCGGCCCATCTTCTCACAGCCAGCGCTGTCCTGGCTGCTAAGCAGCCTGGGGCAAGAACGGTTCAAGTTGCCCTGCACAAGAAAACTGGTAACAGAAAGGCATTGAAGATCATCCTAATCCCCATAAGGGAATCAGGCTAGCAACAGTCTAGGTTACTATGCCCATCTTCAGGAGGATTTCTTTTATTCGTGTGGCTTGTTAAAGAGCAAGGAAGGAATCGACTTTGGCCAAAACAAAAAGCTTCTGCATGGTAGCTCTGACCAGGTGCCCTGGGCTCACAGCAGCCCTTGACCAGTCTCCAATAGAGGTATTTGCAAGTGCTCTCCCAGCCATCAGGTCTCAGATAACAAAGGACGATTTGTGTCTGAAGTCACCCTGCAAAGACAACATGAAGAACCAATTCAGGGGCTTTGTTGGGTGGTGTTGGAGACACACTGGTCAAATCAAATGTGGACTAATCATGGCCCCCAAAGAGGAAGCCAGGGACAACACTAAGCAGAGAAAAGCCTCACTGAATAGTAAGTAAACCCCCTTAATACTGAACCCACAAGGAAGGAGTTACCATGGAGGCCAAGGAGCTCAGGGAGTCCCAGGTACCTTGAGATCCCTGGGTCTCCTGGCAGGACACACCTAGACCATTAGTTTTTCTGCTCTCTTACCTCATCACTTGTCCGAATGTAGTTAACGCCATCATGCTTCCCTGGGCTCTTATAACTGTGAACAGAAGAGGACAGTTCAGTGGCATGCCTATGTTATTAATGCAAGCCTGAACTTCACCTTCAGACGAGACTGGCATACCTTTCTCCATCTTGTGTATTGTTGATGAAGAAGCCACGTCTGTATGCACAGCAGATGCCCATCGTGATCACAGCAAGAACAATAAGGACAACCAGGACTCCCCCAATAATCCCAGCAATGTTCAGATCATCTGCAGAAAAAAATTTGTGGGCAGAAATGGTGTGATCCATCAAACGACCTTGACCTTGTTAGATCACCTTTCCAACCCCCCTCCCCATTTACCCCTCTCTCCATTCATGCCTACTCTATCCAGAAGAGGAAACTAACTCTTAGCATCTCTCTGGCTTAGAAGATATAGGCTACCATAACCCCTGATCATAAAACATACTAAAACATGGATGGTTCAAATGCAGTTATACACAGAGCCATTGAGAAGTTTACCAGTGTAGCAAAAGCTTTAAGATCTTGTAAATAGTACTCATGAAGAAGTGGCTATATTTGTGTAGAATTAAGAGCCAGGAGCCCTAAGGAAAGTAACCTTCCTAATTTATACAGCCTGCCTTTTCTGTAGATTACCTGGGGGAGAAGAAAGCCTCCAATCTTAGATATAAAAACTGTTAAGTACAAACTTGTCCTTTCACTTCACTGGCCGCCTATCCTCAGCCTCTTAAAACCCTGCAAGATCCAGGTGGGTGGGGCTCTAGTAGTTCATGTAAATAAAGATGTGTGAAGAATGCAGGAGACCTTTCTACAATAGCAAATGACCCTAAAGGAATTCCCCAAACTTGACAGGTAAGACACACCAGAATGCTACATACACAAACACTTCCAACAATTCCGGGTGGTTCCTGGACCCCACCTGTAACAGTCCTCCAAATGGCTGTGGAAACCACTGCTCCGAGGTGGCCACAACTGAGAATTTGAGAAGCTCCCCATGTGGCTCAACTCTCCCTATCCTCCTGACACCGCCCTCCCATGAGCCCATTCCCTAGATGATATCACAGAACAGGGAAAAGCTTGGGGCTTTTAGTTTCCTGCAAAAATAGCTACTGACTGACTAGATTCTTAGAGGCCCCTCAGGGCTCCCCATACAACTGTGAAAGTTCCATGACTTGTCAACACCCAACGCTCCCGGGAAGCTTGAGGATCTACTTATTTAGATAGTGTTCTTTTCATACTCCCCTTCAGACTGCGCTGGATTTGATGAGTCCCTTGTCAGCCCCAGAGGAAAATCCACCCATGGCAGAGTGGTTAGCTAAACTGACGTCTAGTATTCATCTTTAAATGTTCTACTCATTCCCAAGACTGCAATGTAATCTTTTCAAGTGACTCACAGACTTCCATGTCCTGCCCCTCACACCTGGATGCGCCTGCGTCATTGGAAGCAATGCAGTAGTACTGCCCAGAGTCGTCCTTGTGGACAGCACTGAAAACCTGTTCCAGAAATGACAAGTATTACTTCACTCAACAGGACAAACTGAGGGACATGCACCAAGGCTGGCACAGGCCTGGTGAGGCTACAACGTCGTCAGTTCATTCCCTGGCCTCCCTGGCACGTGATCCTCACCTCAGCGCTTACAACCACCCAACCACAACCCTCCCAACCACAAAGTTATTTTCATTGTTACTTCATAACTGTAATTTTGCTACTGTTATGAATCGCAATGTAAATACCAGCGTTTTCCGAAGGTCGTAGGTGCCCCTTATGAAAGGATTGTTTGACCCCCAGGTTGAGAACCACTACTCTATATGACGAGGACTTAAAAGCTATAATCACAATACAATTGTGTTAATAATTACTTGCTATCAAACATCTGCCCAGAAATCACAGTTCCTTCACATGATGATTTGTCCATAGGCTGATTATTCAAACTAGGATTCTGATGATGCCTAGCCATCTGCTTATGCCCCTTGGTCTCTCCTAGAAGAACAGGGTTCCTTTTGTCTTCCTCTTAGCACACACTTATAGAAAGCCAGCCCTTTTGCTATAGAGTTTCTGATGCTCTGGGTTCCGCCTCCGCCTTGAGAAGGACCCTCACTGGCCCTCCTTCGCCAAATGCGTCTGCGTCCTCACCTTAGAAGAGCTCTTACCAGAGTGCCTGTCTCCGCGTTCACCAGGAAGGACGAATTGTGAAATCTGGGGTTGGCTCTGGAATCTGTAGGCAGTGGCACATCGTTGCGGTACCAGCTGTAGTGAGGCCGGGGATAGCCCTCGCTCTCCTGGCACTGCAGTGTCGCCACCTTGCCTACGGGCACAGCCTTCGGTACTCTGCAGACAGGGGTCACTGGCTTCACTGCAGGAAAAATATGGGTTGGGGTTTAAATCTCAGCGCAAGCCCCTTGTAACAAAAGCCCAGTGTGATAAGCAGCTCCAAAGACCACAGCCCATCTGCGACTGCCTGCACCCCGCCCTCTCTTGGAGCTCATTCCACTCTGTGTGTCCAGTCCCGGTTTCCAGTTCTTCCCCCTTCAGAAGTAAGGTGAAAAGGAGACGATGCAAAGGCAGGACCTCGGCAGCTAAGGAACAGAACAGGCGCTCCGCCTCCCTTCCCACCCCACCTCATGACAGCCGCACTAGCTCCCTCTCCAAACTGCAGCTAGCCCCAGGAATGCAGCTCCGGAAGAATGAAAATGTGAGCTGGTCTCTTATTCCAGAGCTAAGGATTCGTAAGGCCTGGCCAGTGGAAATGCTTCACATTAATGGGTTCGCACCTTGCACAATTAACTCAATGGTAATCTCATCAATTTCTTTTCGGTCATTTAGAGCAACGACCTCACAGCGATAGATGGCTGAGTCTGACCGTGTCACATTCCGGATCTTCAATGAAGTTTTTCCAAACACATCTGTACGACCTGCCAGGTCCCCTATTAAAAAAAAAGAAGATACAAGTTACCAGCCACTGGAAGACAGTGTGGAGCTGGACTTGATGGTAGAGTAAGAAGACTGCAGACTGCTTTCTGTCCTGTCCCCAGGTAAAAGAAGTGATCTTCTTGAGGACTGGGCCATTGCCTTATTCCTATATGCAACCTGAGCATCAAAAATAACAACTGGTATTTAAGATAAAGCCAGAAATCTTCTTTTCTCTTTATTATCTCCAGGAGAGAATCCCCACTTAAAGGAAAACCAATAAACATTAAAAAACAAATCCACAAAAGATGTTGTGGCTATCCACATGCAAAAGAAGAAAGCTGAACACTGGCTGCCCTTCCTTTTCAGCAAACACCTACATAAGAGTTGAATGAAATACCAAGTGGTGGGGCACTGGCGAGGCGGAAGCAGGTGGATATCTGTGAGTTCAAGACCAGCCTGGTCTGTAGATCGAGTTCCAGGACAGGCAGGCCCACACAAAAGAAACCCTGTCTTGGGGGAAAAAAATTTTAAGTTGAGCTTAGTGACACATTTATTTGCAACTCTATAAACTTATAGGAACTTGAATTTGAGGTTGGCCTGGACAACATAGTAAGCAACATTAGCAAAGTGCTATCCCCAAAAGTAAAACTATAAAAGTTTACTTTATGTATATGACTGTTTTGTCTGCATGTATGTCTGTACACCAGGTTCATGCCTGACCTTTACAAAAACAGAGGGAGGGCATCAAATCCCCTCGAACCTGAATTACAAATAGTTGCCAGCCACTATGTGGATGCTGGGACTCAAACCTAGGTCCTCTGCAAAAGCAGCCAGAACTCTCAACAACTAAGCCATTTCTCCAGAAGGCATAATCTTCATGACCTTGAGTTAGGTAACAGCTTCTTAGATATGACAACAAAGGCATAAACACAAAATATTGGGGCTATCTTAGATTTCATCAAGTTCAAAAACCTTTGTGCTTTAAAGAACATAAGCAAGCGAACAGACAATCTACGGGGTGGAAGAAACTCTCCACGTCATATCAGACTAGTCTCTGGAATATGTAAATTTATAATGCAATAACCAATATACACGTTTTTAAATTAGCATTAACAGTTGATTAGATACTTCTCCCAAGAAAAATCTATACCTGCCCAATATACACATGAAGATAAAACTTCACTGAGATACCTTTATTCAAAGGTCAAATGATCACAAGTGTTGGTAAGACCAGGGGGGTGCGCCGGGCGTTGGTGGCGCACGCCTTTAATCCCAGCACTCGGGAGGCAGAGGCAGGCGGATCTCTGTGAGTTCGAGGCCAGCCTGGTCTACAGAGTGAGTTCCAGGACAGCCTCCAAAACAATACAGAGAAACCCTGTCTAGAAAAACCAAAAAAAAAAAAAAAAAAAAAGAAAAAAAAAAAAGACCAGGGGTGGGATGTGGGTTGACATTGCTAGTGAAAATGTAAAATGATGATGCCAGAGCAATTTATATTACTTTTGCAGAAGATCCAGGTTTGGTTCCCAGCAATCACATGGTGGCTCACAACCATCCACAACTCCAGTCCCAGGGGATCCAACGCCCTCTTCTGACCTCTGTACCCAGCGCACGTATCTAGTGTACAGACATGCATGCAGATAAAATACTCAGACACGTAAAATAAAATCTTTGAAAAAAATGACACTACTTTGGAAAACAGCCTGACAGTTGCTTCAAAAACTCATCATGCAGCTACTGTATGATTCAGTAGCTATGTGCTTGGTCTCCACACAGACATGAGTACAAAATACTGATATCCAACATGTGAAAGCAGCCCAACTGTCCACATGAATGGACAAAATAATGTAGTAACCACACAGTGAACACTGACTCAGTCATAAAAGGGAACAAAGTTCTGATCCATGTGATCCATGGATGAGTCCTGGAAGTACTATGCTAAGTGGAAGAAGCCAAGAAGAACAACAACAAAAAGGTCCAGAGAGAAAGAGTAGATAGAGGGTTGCTAAGAGGTAAGGGAAGGGTCCTGCCTGTTCATGAGATGGTTTTCTTCTTGGCTATGGAAAGATTCTGGGATTGGACAGGGCAGTAGTTCTGTACCTATGTGCATATAACAGCTCCAAGGGGACAGATCTAACAGGTGCTTTGGGCACAGTCCTACCTCAAGGCATAATAAGAGTCCTGCCTCCAACCTGGTTCTTTGTGGTAGTTCTTTATGCTAGCCATTCCTATGGCTAAGAGTTCATAAAAAGAAAATTATTATTGTTTGTGATCCAAATTATGATTTAGGGCCTTGTGCATACTACATCAGTGGTCCATCACTCTACCTACCCCTACCCCCCCCACTCTGGGGAAATAAAAGTTTTCTTTCTTAGAGATTTATGTTGTTTTGTATGTATAGGTGTGTGGGTATGTGCAGGTATAGTGCAGTGTCTGCAGAAGAGATTTATGGGTTGTTTTGTATGTATATGTGTGTGGGTATGTGCAGGTATGAGTGCAGTGTCTGCAGAGTGCAGAAGAGGACATCAGATAGTCGTTGGAGCTACAGGCTGCCTTGAGTGGGTGTTAGGAACTGAGTTCAGGACCTCTGCAATAGTACACACTCTCAACAACTCAATCGTCTCTCTGGGCCCCCAAAATACTTTGGGCTTTTATGTTTTTAATAAGTATGGCTTTTTTTAGATTTACTTATTTATAGTTTATGTATGGGTGTTTTGTCTATACACCCCATGCATGCATACGTAACCTGTGGAGACCAGAAGAAGGCATCCGATCCCCTGGAGTTGTGCACCTCCAAGGGGTGCTAATACTGAGCTTCACACACAGCCCTTGGATGCTGTTGGGTTTTGGCCTTTTTCCCCCTCAGTCCTAGAGATTGAATTCAGGGTTCATGAATGCTAGGCTGGCACTACACCACTGAGCTACAGTTGTAACCAACAAACTATATTTAAGAGCATACAACCCCTGATAACATATAGAACTTCCCTAAAACTGAACATATCCACACTTAACCTCCTATTTATTTCTTCCCTCAATGTGAGAAGGAAAATAACATCTTACTGTGTTACCCCTCAGAGGTGCAAGCTCCCCAGACTTCTCTAACTGCCTTAACAGGTCATTTCCAGCTCCTTCACACAGGAGAGTGGCCAGGCCCCGCCCTATAGGCAAGATCAGACCATAGAATCCCACCAATCCCTGAGCTTGCCCCAGGATCAGGTGCACCACCCTGGAAAGCTCCAAGGGGCCTCCTGCCCAGTTCTCTGCTACTTCTCTCCTGAGCAGAGGCAGCTACCCTCCCCCCTATGCTTTTTCCCAATAAATCTCTTGTGTGAAGTTTGTTGTGTGGTGTGACTTTGTGGTAGTCCTTGGCTCCCACCTGCCAGGATCCCTTTCCTCTCAGAGCTGTAACACTTTCTCGCTGTTCAACACTACCTCCTTCCGCACAGCCGTGTCCTAACAAGTCTACCCTTCCTTTTCCGATGTCTGTACCTCAGCTCAGCCACTGAGAGCAACCCCACCCACCGGACGTCAAAGGAAAGCTGATATGATATGGTCCTGCCCTGAATTAGCTCACCTCGTCTCTTTTCACCCGAGTCTTCGAACGGTACGGCCATGTGGCTTCTCCTAGCACCTTTGATGGGTACTGACTACTGTCCTGCTTGTGTGACAGCTAGTACACCCCACGTCCTCCTCACCTCCCTGTCTGGCTGCAGCTCTAACCGCTAGCTAGGATCTTCCTCGCACAGCATTTCCAGATGTCCGTATGCAGCTTTCTGTCCTCACACCTCTGACCATTCCACACTTGCTATCTTGTCTGGTCACCCGAGCACTCCGCAGCCGACCGTCCTGATGCCTGGCCCTCGTCCTCCTCCTCCTCCTCGCCATCCCATGGCAGCTCGTGTTAGCACTGCCCCGAGATAATGTCCTGCCAGCCAATGTGGGGAGACCCCAGCACGTCACACTGGACAGCGCAGCTCAGTGAGAACCTGTGGCCCCAGGCTGCTGTGATGACCTCTTTGTCACTAGCTCATACTATGTCACAGGCCATAACAACAAGGCCAAGAAAAGTGTTTCCTGTGATTCCTCAGGCAGGCAGGCAGGCTGTGCAGAGATCCAAGTCCTTACTAATTAGCTGACAATATCAGTGCTAAAATTGAAATTTTCTGTAAGAATAAACTCAGAAAATCAGAATGGTCCTAACTACAGGCGCGGGTTAGCAGTCTGGGGGTAAATCTCTGCTATAAATAAATTCTAAGCCGTATGGACAAAAGAGAAGTGAGCAGCACAGAGGATGATGGGGTCATACCTTGAATCTTGTTGTCAAAATAGACATAGGTGGTTTGGCCATCTTGGATTTTCTTCCATTCAATCCTAGGGTCATTTGTCTGTGAGTCCGTAATGATACAAGACAGTTCCACACCTAATGAGCAATGGGAGAAACGGTATACACTTAATCATTCTTGTATTTCAAGATGATTTTTCTTGCCAGAAAAACAATAAAATCATTATTGAGGATTTCACTATAGGGAATACAGCTTCCTTTAAAGACACTGAATCTATTACATATAGGCAAGAAACAGATGGCAGCCAACATAAACCGCAGAGTATACTATTAGCCTACCCATACACAACAGCCATCCTAAACATTGTTGACCATTTCATACAGAGGACTGAGGGCTGGTTCGGTGGTTAAAAGCACTTACTGCTTTTACAGAGAACAGTGCAAGTTCCAGCACCCACAGCTCCTGGAGATCCAAGGCCCCCTTCTGGCCTCGGCAGCATCCCTTCAACATGTACACACACACACACACACACACACACACACACACACACAGTCACAAATAAAATAAATACTTTTTAAGTGATAATAGATTGGGTATGGTAGTGGACACTTTTAATCCTAGCACTCGGAAAGCAGAGGCAGGCAAATCTCTGTGCGTTCCAGACCAGCCTGGCCTCTGTAATGAATTCCAGGTCAGCCAGGGATACACAGTGAGATCCCATCTCAAACAAACAAATGTATTAATTAATTAATTAACTAATCAATCACAACAGGGAAAACAGGTGTTGTGTTAGCTGCAGAGCTACCAATGTCCACTAGGGGGCCCATTCCTCTCCATTTTTCTTGTACTTACTTTCAAATTCATGTACCACTGGGTTTCTGTTGCTGGATTTAAGATTCACTGCCTCTATCAAGCAACCTGAAGGGAAAAACAAAAGTGAAATCAGATACTCTACAGCTCCATAACAGCAAGAAACACTGGGTGGAGGCCACAGCTTTTCCTTCCATGTGGATGTGGATGTCCGTCAGAAAACACAGGGGATGGGAAAATACATCCTAAACAGTCTCTTAGGGACAAACAGCAGTTGCTGCTTTCTTTTTGGTATGCCCTCTGGCAGGAACCAAGAGAAAGCAAAGACCCTTGAAGCCCACAATCCTCCTCAGTCCTAGACAAAGCCCCCAGAGTGCCTTTCCAAGCACTCCTTCACTGACAATTCGCCACCTCTTGTGCGGACCGTGGGCCTCTGCCATTCCTCCCGCCTTTCCTTTTCCTCTAGGTGCCACGCCCCATAAAGGCAATCTTGATGGCGCAGCACAGTTAAGAACCTGAAGCCACCCGCCCCTTCAGGATGCCCCAACCTTCTCTGGCGTGGCAGCCAGCCAAATAAGAGTCCGCCATACTGTATTTTCATCTTGCTTAGGGCATCTAGTACATGGAGAAGGTCACACCAGATCCAGGGGAAATAACAAGTTATCAGTATATTTAGTGATTTCCATGCAGCTAAATTTGTAGAATTGATGAGATCGACATAGCTGCCTCCGTGGTCTCAAGATTTTCCAGCCAATCTTGCAGAGATAAATAACCACCTATAATATGCTGTCCTTCAGCTTCTGGCCTCTGAGAGAGGCTTCTAGCCAAAGAGAGCTTTGACACGGAAACATTTACTGGTGGCTCAGCATACTGGCTTTCTATGTGGCTAAAGACAGCTGTAAGCTGGTAAGAGTTTAGACTGCAGACTTACAAGTGTTGGGCCTAATACTTGGAGAAAAGATGGAATTCCTCTAGAACACCATTTGCTTCCTCGCTCCTACATTAGCAGGCTGCTGGCCATGGCCATCCATTGTTTCCTTTGTAGTATACAATGTGTTCACTTCCTTATTTGCTAAGAATTCACTCACATTTTAGCAAAAGTCTAAAAGAGTTGAAAAAGGTGATGGGAAGCAGAGGCGTAATATACCTGAGCTGCTGTTATTCTGTGGAAGGCTGCAGAACCGAGACACCTGAAGACAATCTGTTCTGGGATCACCATGAGCTACCCTTCTGAGGGCCAGGAGAAAATACTGCATGCACAACACTACTTCTGCTTCAACCTCAAAGCTCCCAGTGGTTCACTAATGGGGAGTAACATGTGATACACTGACTATCCGCCAAGCCCACCCAGGTTCCTTCTAATGGAAGTCACCACTAATAGGTCTTTTGGTATGGTATGAGATGACAACCTAAAATTGGCTTTAAGGGACTGTGACCTGCCAAAGATGACCAAAGGGTCCCCTGAGGTGACTCATAAGAGCCTGAACAACTAAATCAGGTCCTTTTTCTCATGAATATGAGTTAAAGAAAGTGGGGTAGAGAACTTAGAGTCACAAGAGGACCAGAGAGAGGTGGAATGTAAGGAGATGAGTGGGATTATCAGCAAACCCCAGAGCAGACAACAGCGGGTGAACTCCAGGACTACTGTCTAGGCCCTGGGGTAGCTACAGTGCTGGCAGAATCACTTTTCACGAAGGCCAACAGATACGCGTGCCTACAATAACCCTGTTTCTCATAATCTAAAAGGCTATAAGACAAGAGCTTTGAGAGTGGAAATGATCATCTTTCTAAGACTCTAGAGAGCTAACCCAGGTCCTTAGCGCTTTCAAGGCAAGCACTTGATTGACCAAATTCTCTCTCTAGCCTATATTTTATTTTTAAATGACACACAGGGTCTTGGGTTGAGTTTCTATTGCTGTAATAAAACCCTGTGACCAAAGCAACTTGGGGAGAAAAGGGTTTATTTCATCTTGCAACTCATTTCACACTCCATGGCTGAGGGAAGTCAAGACAGGAACTGAAGCAGAGGCCATGAAGGAGTGCTTCTTACTGGCTTGTTCCTCATGGCTTCCTGAGCCTGATTTTTTATATGCCTCAGGACCACTGGTACAGAGTAGGCAGCACCCACAATAGGCTTGGCCTTCCCACATCAATTAATATTCAAGAAAATGACCCCACAGACTTGCCACTATAATCTGATATAGTCCTCCCTGAGCTAATGGTCACAGAGGTCTCAGAGGCACTCAAATCAACACAGGCCTCTGCCATTGCTCTCAGCCGTCCACTAACTGGATGTAAGACCCTCTTGCTAAAGACGCTTTGGATACCACTGACTTGGGTTGCAGGATTTGGAGAAATCAACTCAAATTCACAGAAAACCAGCTTAAACTGTGCCAGAAGATGCTATGCAGGCTGCTAAGGAAAAAAGACATCAACAGTTTTACTAAGTACTAGATACTGCATGCTATAATACCGACCTCCTGCAAGATATGACCACTGGTATAACAGTGCCATGACTACTATGGGGGTAACCTACCCCAGAGGTGGTGTTTGTACCTAGTATTGTAAACCTAGCCAAAGGCTTATGACTTGGGGATCCTACAGTTGTACTTTTACTAAATGCCTATGTTGTCAAAATACTTTCTACAGATTTGTTTATGCCCACAGATTTCTGCTGCTCTCAACCTTGGGCAGAGAAACTTCTTTTTGCAATGGACAGTTGTTAGTGCATGAACTCATAACTGGTCCAAGTGCCAAGTATAAATAATTATGAGTGCTCACCTATGCATGCACTATCTATATCAGTGCCACACCATTCAAAGCCCAAGGAACTTCGCAGAACAGGGTGGGAAGAATGTCCAAGCCAGCGGATGGAGAAGAGAGAATGAAGTGCTCACTTTTGGATATGACAAGTTTTGCATTCACAGACTCATGGCAACTGTGGTTACTGGCACAAGACCAGTACGACATCAAGCCAGTCAAAATTCCAGTGTGATTTGGGGAGGGCCCAAGGCCCCATTCTTATTGAAGGAAGTACAGGCAATTGATGGCTTCTGAGAGAAAAAGAGCCAGACTTGATGGGGAAAGTTCTTCGGTGTATATGTTTGTCTTATTGGTTGATAAATAAAAAAGCACTGTTGGCCAATAGGGAAGCAAGATAGGTGGGACTAGGAGTTGAGGAGAATTCTTGGAAATGTAGTAAAGAGTGGGGAGTTACCATGTGATCCTGGGAAGAGAGGATGTGTCAGGATGGCGTCCTTGGAAAGATAAGTCCTTATAGAAATATATATGTTAGTAGTCATGGGCTAATACTTAAGCCAGAACTAGCCAATGAGAAGTCCTGGATATTGGCTAGCATTGTGTGTCATTTGGGGTTGCATGGCTCTGGGACCAGGCTGGAGGGAAGTATGCTCGTTATACAAACTTTCTTTGAAGATGCAGTTGCTCATTCCCAAGGGATGGCTACACACTCGTGTGCACATGGACAGCACTATTGTGACTCAGGGTTACTAATAACAACAACAACAGCAACTTAAAGAGAATATGAAGCTGGAAGAGAAATAGTGTAGGTATTAAAAAAGAGGGTGGTGTTGGAAAGAGGTTGTTATGTATGGCTTTAATCAAAATATATTGTATAAATGCATAAATTTTCAAAAAACAAAAAATTATTTAAAAATAATAAAATAAAAATAAAGACACGAAGCACCAGGAGTGGAAGCCCAGGCCTGTGATTCAGCAATAGGAGGCTAAGGTTGGAGGATCAAGAATTTGAGGCCAAACTATGATATCCGGTAAATTCAGGGCCGACTATGGCTACAGAGAGACCGTGTCTCAAAAAGAACATTGAGGAAGGGATGATAAACGTCTAGAAACCTCCATCTATAATCTACTAACATGGTCCAAAGGCAAGGATATCCTAGGATGCACCAGACACAGGTCATTGGTAACACAATGAGAGCAAAACGGAGAAGAGTTGATACCTTAAGTCTGAGCAGAGCAAATTCAGCTGAGAGGGTCTGAGGACCTCAAGTCATTTCCTAGTGTTCATGTCCTCTGGTTAAGAAGCTAGCTCTGCTGGGCGATGGTGGTGCACACCTTTAATCCCAGCACTCAGGAGGCAGAGGCAGGTGGATCTCTGTGAGTTCGATGCCAGCCTGGTCTATAGAGTGAGTCCAGGACAGCTAGGGCTGTTACACAGAGAAAACCTGTCTTGAAAAACCAAAAAAGAAAAGAAGGAAGGAAGGAAGGAAGGAAGGGAGGAAGGAAGGAAGGAAGGAAGGAAGAAAGGAAGAAAAGCTAGCTATGGTGTGTAGAGTGCAGAGAAGCTGACCAGAAATAAAACCTAAACATACAGACAGCATGCTTTTGACAGGCACCAACTAGGATGGTTCACTTTTTCTTGTAGGTCAGATGACTATTCTGCTAAAGGAGATTACCATTCTGCCTGCAGACTGATGCTTATTGTAAAGAGAAGAACGAACAGACCTGTAACGCCCCCTTCCCCCTGGTACTTTGACAGGTAATGGAGCAGAGGAAGGTCGTGCGCAGTGCTGCTGTACATCTATGCATCACTGGGACTATCTAACAACACATTCTCAATACTGACCCCACCTCCTGGTATCCCTTGAGTTTAAAGATTACTATATGTTCTTCCCAGGTTGGGGATGTTAGTGACAACAAGGACAGTCAAGACTATAGGGCCTGTAGTTTGGACCTGTCATTCCGACTTCTTGATTTATTTCATAAATTTTCTTATAGGAAACACAATGCTAAAGTCTACTCAGAAATAAAAGAGACAGCAACAGACACATGTAACAGAGATTTTATACTCAAAGGAAAACATGAATCAGACCTTGAAGTCTAAATGGATAGCCTATTGTTTTATTGAAACCCTTTTTTAGATGAGTTTGCAAGGGAAGTGGCCTAAAAAAGGCCTTGGTGTGATGTGCAGTTGGCACTGTCATCTTCAACCCAACACCTCTTCCTCCTGATGAAGACACAGAACTAAGTTAACCGGGAGTGCAGGGAGCCAGCAAGATGCTGATGATAAGGGAAGGGAGGAAATACGGGTGGGTGCTCGAACATTCACAATGCCCTTCCTCGTTGCC